TTGTGCTGTGACACTGGTTGTATAAGCTATTTTGAAAGCTGAAACTTAGCAATCCTGAGAGGAAAATTTTTCTTCTGTGGACTATCAAGAGAGCAAGATACTCTGGCATTCAGTGTAGTGGGAACATGTCTGGATTCTCAAGGGAACTGCAAAGGAATTTGTTATACAGGCTTAAAAATACAAAAGATGTCATGTTTTGGAATGTGACAAATTGAAAATAAGGTGCTAATGCCTTTACAAAATTTTTAAAGCCTGAAAGCTTGCATTTGAAGGTATTACGATTTTGTTTGGGAAACGAGGAGAAGGAATGAAATTACTTTTGAGAACAAAGGAGTGAGGTTGATAACATGTCAAAAAGTAGTACTGTGCAAGATTTTTCAAGTGGTAAAATTCAGTGTGTCCTTGCAGCTATGGTTCATGCCACACCTTTCAGCAGTTTAAACATGTAAAATCTAGGGCTCTGCTTTCATTAATGATTGCAATGCTTGTGGGGGAGATGTGCTAATGTGGGCTACCATGAAATGTCTTATTTTGTAAACGTTGGTTGCAGTAGGTGTCTATAACTTGGTGTGACAGCAAGACTTTAATCAGTATAAATCCAGTTCTTGGTATTTTGCTTGTGTAGAGTGTTAGGCTGCTCAGTTTTTCATACTTTTTTTTTTTTTTTAAAAAACTCTGCTTGTCTTGGCCTTTCATTCGACATTTAAAATATGGTTATTATTGCTGTGAATGCCCACTGAAGATGAGATTGGAAAAGGGCATCCTGCTGTCATAACAGTTGATAATGAATTCTGGTCTTCTGAACAAGGAAGTAGTGTAGATAACAGCACTATTGTAAATATGGGTAATAAGAGATCAAAATGTTAAACCTGAGTTCTGTTGCCTCACTTTAAGAAGTGCTCAAGGTCACTTCTGTTCTAGCTGATAATTTAGAAGAATGGTAAACGGCTAGATGAAGAATGCCTTGAAATATTTTTGTTAGGAGTCTTCCACTCCCTTTAAACTTGAAGATTGCTGTCTTTCAGTCAGTCTTTATCCTTGATGGGTTCTGAATGATGGACATGAATTTCAATGGTGTCATCAAAGGTTGGCTTTTGGCAGGTTGGCCAGGCAGCAGACACCAGTCAGATGTTGGGAAAATGGATATAGAGGTGACTTATTAGGTCTGGGTGGACCTGCATACTGAACCTAATTGGTTTTAGTCCTTGCATTGCTAGTATATCCAGTAATTTCATGAGTGCTTTTAAATTTAAATGCCTTTATATGAAATGCAAAGGATTTTTTATTATATCAAAGAGATTTTAAAAATTCAAATAAAAAGCTTAGCCATCAAATAACATAAAGAAGTATAACTTCATTTCCTCAGTCTGTGTATTTATCATGATGAATTTTTTTTCTTGTAGAGAAAGGTTAAGGCAAGATTAATCTTTTAATTTAGCAAAATTAAGTTCTAAAGGCTCTATTTCTCATTTGCAGTAACTTGTTTCGAGGCTTAGGAACACTTCCTGTCAAATTTGACATATTGTGCCACATTGCTGAAGTTACTTGTTGGAAATCACCCACCCTGGGAAACAGAGATCTTGTTTTAGACATGGTCCAGGAACCTTCATTAAATTCTAGAGAAAAACACTAGCTAGGTGTGAAAAATATGTCTCTTTCTGTTTCAGGATATCAGTCTAATGTCAGAGGTTCTGCATGTGTGTCCTTCAGAAAGTGGAAGCCGTTAAGGTTCTTGCAATTTAATGCCTTCATATACCTTCTACCTTTTTTTTTTTTCCTGTTCCTGTCCCAGTCCAAACTGATCACTGAAAATTTACAATCCTTTTCTAGCTGGAAGGTAGAAAAGAAGTGTGAACACGACTCGGGAAAAATTACAAGGTTATCTTAAACTGCAGTGAGAATAAAGCAGTTTGGTTACAGTGTTGACTTCTATATTGAAGCCTGAGTTGTGGTATATGATACTAGTATACTAGGACTTGAACATAATTCTGAAATTAGGCTGCACTAGAAGATGAATCTGTGGCAGAGGACTGAAGGCTTCAAGTTTTGTGTTAGAAAGAGGTAACAGTTGAGCAAAAGAAAGCTGTGTGATTCACTCTGGCAGACCTACTATGCTGTATTTAGGGTAGATTCTGCGTCCAGATATGACAGAAAGCCACGCCAATGTATTTCCAGATGTTTGGAAAAAAATCGTATAACCACTAGTAGTAAAGCAAGGGATTTTTGCTGTATGTGTTGATTTTCAGGTGATTAAGCCAGGATGTTTATGGAAGTTAAATGATGCTCAGTTTTTAATTTCTAGGCTGAGCAGCTTTCCTCGAGTTGGGCTTGCAAAAGCTGAGTGTCAGACTAGAAATAGGATTTCCCAGGTCCCTTACTTACTAGTAAGACTACTGTTCTGTCATTCTTCCAGAGCAGCTGCTTATAATGCCTGTCCCCGAGGATTTTGTTATGGCAAGCTGCTGCTATGTAGGAGGTTTCTGGGTAACTTTGTATTGCAGCGTGCTTGCTCCAGCTCTGCAAAAATAGCGGCACTTAGGCAAATTTTATCTAGTTTTTGTACTGGTGAGTCAAATTGCTGAAAAGTAATGCAGTTCTTGACAAGTCTTACTGCCAGTATGAGTGAAGCATATTTAATAGATGTTGAAGTAAAAGATATGCATGGAGAAAATGAAACTTGTGCCTTGTAATGTCTCAGCATCCTTCAGTTCTGAATTGCATGACTGGCTGCTCGGCTGCCGTTTCAGTTTTATAGGGACTCTGGGGCCTCTTTTAGGCAGGGCTTTTCTTTTGCAAATACAGCATTATTTTGCATTGCCAAAGACATTGTTTGCCATAGAAGTTTAGGGGAAGTGTCCAGGTGAGAATAGTTGTGCTGCGGAGGGATGGATTCTGAATCCACAGCTCCCACAACTTTAAGATGATCAGATTTTTGCTAGACTGCTAGCAAAAATTGGGAGGATTGTTAATTTTCTAAATGCTGTTCCAGTGACTTCTGTAATGAGAAGGAAAGCAGTGTGCCTATGAGTAGGAGTGACGCTTCTTACAGTGCTGCTACAGTTTGCGGCATTTTATGACGATGTGTTTTATGCTAGTTTAGCCTGACTTCGCAAAAAACCCAACCGATGTGCTGCTAGTCATTGTTCTTGTCTCCCAGGTCTGATATCTACAAATGTATGATGGGAAATAGGTCCTTCAGGACATACCAGGATGCTGAGATATCCTGTATATGTGAGCTACTGTTTATTCCATGTTTGAAATGGTCACTAAATTAGGCCTTTTTCTTTAGACCTGAAGAAGAGAGGAACAGAGGTAACAGAAGGCTGCAATGAAATAAACTGAGATTCTTTATATGATATGGAAAAGTTTTATTACTTGAGGTATATTACTTTCTTTATAGTAGCTCTCCTGTGTTTAGTATTGAAACCCGGAGGTGTTGAAAAACCATTTGTTTCAGAAGTTCTACACGTGCCAACTTGTTTTGTGTTTAATTGAGTTTTTTTCACTTTGATGCTCATACTGACTCTGAAGCAGATAGTTTGTGAGGCAGTGGAGAAGACGGTAGAGATCACACTGGAAAATTTGTGCTGAATAGCTGTCCATAATTTGTCGTGGCAGCTCTTGAGACTTGCTGCACTGATAATGGCAGTTCACGTGGGATGACAGTGTGTGTGCTGGTGGCATGTTTTAGGAACATTTGGTGGGATACCGAGTATGTGTTTCTAATACCACTCTCATCTCATAGGTGCAAATCTGACTCAAAGGGCATGTAATTCCTTTTTTTTTTTTTTTAAAAGGTTTATTTTGTTTTCCGATGTGTTGTCCAAGCACTTAAATGACTTATGTTCCAGTTTATAAATAAATACAGTCCTTAACCTTGCTTGGCATTACAACTGTTTCTTCCATTCAGATATGTTTCCACTTTTTCTGATATTTCCAGTTTACTTTCAGGTTTTATAGTGATCAGAGAGCCATGGCAATGACTTTAGGCCTTCACCTCCTTTATCTCTGTATCTTGCATACTGTGTGTTTGTTTTGTTTTTATTTTGTTCCCCCCCCCCCAAATTTTCTGATGTTTGATTTCTATTTCTTGTTTGTTTTTTTGTTTATGGGTAATTACTATGAAAACATGTACTGCTTATTTTAGATAGCTTTTAATTTTAGGTCAGTAGTGCTGATTTATGCAGGTCCTTCCATCTGCTGTTTTGTCAAGTACCCTGTGGTCTTTGATAGTGTATTTGACAAAACTGATTTTCTGGATTTTCCAGATCTTTCTGTTGAAAGACATTACATGTGCAGCACACTGCTAATGCTTCTCAGTAAAACTATTTCAAGAGCTTTTGTTTAATTCCCATGCTAAAAACATTAAATTTGTGATACTGAATATGAATTTTGCTGTGCAACGGTTAGTAATTTTAATATATTTAAGACTGCAAACACAAAATCCATGCCAAAGCATGCTAAACAGAAGCAGTTTCAGTTACCAAAAAATAATGGAAATAGTAGTTGTTTGTTAATTTAGTAGCTCAAGAGCTCTTGTTTAATTCCCATGCTAAAAACATATGAAATTTGTGATACTGAATATGAATTTTGCTGTGCAACAGTTAGTAATTTTAATATATTTAAGACTGCAAACACAAAATCCATGCCAAAGCATGCTAAACAGAAGCAGTTTCAGTTACCAAAAAATAATGGAAATAGTAGTTGTTTGTTAATTTAGTAGCAAGTGCCTGTGGTTAATTGCAGCATTTTTGAGGAACCCTCATTATTAACAATTTAACCTTCTCTTTCAGGAATACTGAATCCTGCAGTTCTGCAACAGTAAATGTTTAGAGTGTTTTTCTTTGTAATTCAGAAGATACGGGAACTGCAGTATTTCCGGGGTGGAAGAAGTTAGGAAAATTGCCGGGATAACCCTGGAGGTGGATTATCTGAGTAACAGGAGACAGCCTGGCTGCTCTGCTTTCTCTTACAGCCCCCCCTTCTCTACCTCCTATTAGAAAGGAGCGTTTGTCCCCTCCAGTCTGTCTGAGGATAAACCTCTTCAGGTTGTGTTGAGTAGCAGAAGACTCTGCATCGATTCCTCTGTGGAGGAATCACCTATTGCTGCTCCTTGTTTCTCCAGAGAGAGGGGATTGCTGGCTGAAATATGTGGGATTAAGCCATTAGCCCTGCTCAGCTCCGTTTTACCTAAAATGTCCTTAGGCCAGCCTGCTTTACCGACTGGAAAACACTGGAGTGAATAGCTGTTAAATTGAGCTTGAATACCACTGTATGACACTATTTATTCTGTCCATGCTGGGATTCCTCTTAGTTCTCTTACTAAATTTCCCTGGCCTTTTAAAGTTACAAGTGCAGCAAGTTTAGACAAATTAATCTGGCAGTTATAATTCAAAGGATAATTTAATTTTAGTGTGTTTCTTTTTTGCCGCACCGCCTAGCTTTAGGTTTAGTTAAATAACTGTTCATGCTGTGCGTTCAGAAGGCTTCTGTTCTGAATCTCCTTCTGTGGGATGCTCTCCCTCTCCACTGATGCTGCATGAAGAGACTGTGAGGACTAATTGCAACACCTTTTTATACTTCTACATTTAAGCTATATGAATGTGCTTTTGATAGAGAGGAGGATTTCTATATGTAATTTTAGCATTCCAAAGCAAGCAGAATGGATCAATGTATAAGAGATATTTATGAAATAACTGGAAAACTGTTCAAGAATACTTAGTTACATTGTAACTATGTCAGGAAACCTGGTTATACTGTGTGATCTTATAATTAATCAAAAAGTTACCGGTATAGTTTCTTGAAGTTTTTAATCTGGAGTAACAAGTAATTAAGCTGTGCAAATGTAAGGAACTAGACATAAGCCAAGTAAGGCTGACTCAGACAAGTATCTGTTAAATGTATCTATTATAAAGTGATATTTTTAATGTAGTCTAAAACTGAATTCTTTCCTCTAATCCTTGGGGGGAATAGAAGGGAAAAAAGCCGATATACAGTGGTGTGGGAGTTTTGGTTGGTTTGGTTTGTGTTTGTTGGTGTGTTTTTGTTTTGGGGTTTTTTTTTTCATCTAAACTGCTTTTATTGCTTCCTTGTCGCACTTGGCTGTAATACACAATACATGAGGAAGTGATTAGTTTGTAGCAAAAAAAACGTTTTCACTTTATGGAATACTCTGGTCCATAGCAATAATTTTATATTTTCAGTGTAGGTGCCATTTTTGTTAGTTCATGTAAATAATACTTAGAACCTATGTACTGTATTAATCATAATCATTAAATAGAAGTTAAATATAGGAACGGTTGGCTGATAAATAGGTTTGAGGATGGTGAAGGCTGCAAACATAATTTTTTATGTTCATTTTTGTTATGAAAAAGTGTTGTACAGTGAGGGGATCAGTGAGTAATAACAACTACTGTGAAATTTATATTTTAAAGTAGATTGTTAATACCTGTAACTTGTCCAGAAGGGTGCTGTAACTTAATTCTTTCTGATTTTTCTTGTCCATGCTTGCTTTTAGTGACGTTTATGTAGATATGTGAAACCTCCCTTACGTGAACAAAGAATTATATTTAAGGCAGCATTATTATTATTATTTGCGCATTGAAACTCATTTGATACCATTTGCTGATTACTGTTTGACTTTTCAAAATTCCCCACCAATCCTTAGTCCATGGGGTTTGAGTTTAATGGTTATTGTTCTTTGTCTAGCCTTGTTTCCTTAGAAGAATGCAGATGATCATGTAGGCAGAAAACCGAGTTAGTTCATTTAGCCAATATGAAGAGCGTATGGAGAGAGTTTGAATAATAAAATAATTGTGGGTATGAAATGTTCCTGCTGCTATTAGGGAAATAGGAGCTTGTTAGTGGTGTGGTGGTGGGGGTTTTTGTTTGTTTTTGGGGTTTTTTTGTCCCTGTTTTGTTTTATTATCTTCCAAGACAGAAGAAGGAACTGCATTCCCTGGGCTCCTTCTGTGGTATTTCATTGATCATTACAAAAAATAATGTGTTCTGCATGGAGTTTTTGACAGTGCAGGATACGAGCACATCAGAAACAGGAAGTAAACTCTTCCAAGTATTTTGCAATATAACTTTTAGTATTAGAACATTCCCGGAACGTGTAATATTATAATGTTTTTGGCGTTGAACATGGTTGTTAGGGTATTTCTTGCAACAGTTCTCTCTAGTTATACTTTCTCTTGAATAATAAATAACTATGCCAAGTGGTTGAAATGAGACAGTACTTACCGAACCTGCATGAGCAATTTAATAACAGAAACTGGGTGGAAAATACCTGTAGTCTTTGACTGTCTTTGCTGAAGTTTTGACTGCTGTCTCTTTCTGTCATGCTTGTCTAATAGATTTTATACAGGAGTTAACAGATTTTGCACATGACTTAGTCTGATTCCTGCTTGTGTTTCTGGCCATAAAATGTTTGTGTGGTTGCCTTGATGCTCTTGTGTCAGTCCTGCCTGATCTGGAGCACCAGCTTCCATCTCTTGGGCTGTCCCCAGTTGTCTTTGCCTAAGATTGTGTTTAATATCAAGAATGCTTAAAGCAAAATATAATGTTGCCATTAATACTGCAATCTCATATAGCAGGCTAAAAATATATGGAATTAGTAAATTGATAAATGTTTATGCCATGTTTTCAGCCTGTCTGGTTGTGGAGCATCTAAAGATTAAATAAAGCTCAACTTTTGATTCAAGGTTGGCTGCATTAAAAATTTCAGGATCTTGAAGATGGAAGATTGTATTCTCTTCTGTCTGTTTTTGATGTGAGAATAGACACTGAATACAGCTGAATTATCTTAAAAGTGGAGCGAGTAGAAAAGCAAGGATGGAAAATGGATGAGAAACAGGAATGGAAGATGTAATTATTTGTATTATTTGTTGCCTATTAACACATGCAATTGTAGAAGTAGACTAGGGTTATACAATTAAGAAGTTTGCTTAGTAATAAGTCAAATAACGTTAGCAGCATGATAGCTGTGGCGCACTAAAGGACAAATTATTAAATCTGTGGAAAAACTGAGAACCATGTTCTGTTAAGCAAGGTCTTAATAAAGACTGTACGGTAGATAAAATTAAAAAGTAAGAAATTAGCGTATATGGCTAGATGTTACTGTATATGGTCTCTTGGTTGTTTTCCAGCCTATCTCAAGTGATTCTGCATAATTTCGGGACTGAATGTGAAGGATGCTCGATGAGTGCAAGAGGGGGATGCTACCTGTTTTATTCCAGTCAGATGTATTGAATGTCAGCCATGTGCACAGTGCAGGGAGCGCGGCCTATGCCTTGGGGACTTTATACTCTAAATCTGGGAAGTTGGATCACTCTGTGGAGGAAGATGAATTTCATCTGGGCTGATGGTATATTGAGGATGGGAAGTCTTTCTCAGTCTAGTGTGGCTCTCCTGTTAATGTCAACTGGATACTTGTACAAAAGAATAAAAATTAATTGTGACAGTGGTGACTCTGTTATGTCTTGCATTACTCACAGCAGAGGGGTTTGCTTTTGGTATTTCCATGAATTTTCTTTTCCTTTCCTCATCTGTGTTGTTACCTTGTTTCTTTTTAATTTATTTTGTTGCTGTTCATTACAACAGCTGTTCATATTCTTCCCTGTGTGGAACAGCTCTTGAGTTCTTACCCTGTGAACATCACTGGTCGCTCTCCTAAGCAAATCAGAATGAAATATTCATGTTGATCCAACATGCTTAAGAGATAAGTAATTACTGAAAATCGTCTTATTTTCCATTTGCAGATTCAGAAGGCAGATATTTTAGGGGAAAGGTCAAAATGTTACTTATTAGCCCTAGGATTAGCATAGCGTTCATTCTTTTTGTTCCTTTAACTTTTTGACCTCTGGAAGCAATTTGAGAACCCTGCAAGACAAAAATTGAGTATAAACTCTGTTCAGCTGTACAGTCATGTACATACAGTGACTGCTTTAGTTGTGGCAAATGCAAAAAAATTTAAGTATTTTTTTCTTTTTAAGAAAAAAAAAAAAATCCCACCCAACCCTCTAAATACAGACTTCTGACCCACTCTACCCACCATAATTTTCTAGGAAATTAATTCTAAATAAATAAAATGTAACAAAATGGTTCCAAAACTGCTTCATCCATTATTAATAACTCTATTATTTGAACCCATTAGGTAAAATCCTATTGAATGTTTTTGTTACAGTCAAGCAGATCATCGGTCATTCTTGTACCACTTGTAATAGTTTTTATAGATATGTGATATACTTGAAAAAAGTAATTGAAAAAGATGCCAAGAGCTTCTGTTTTCACAGTGGAAGACGGCAGTATTGGTAATTCTTTAAGAACCTGTAAGAACATACAGCTTACCGTAGTTATGGACCTGGGAATATCGAGAGACCGACAGACCAGAGAAAAAACTGACTATTAATTATGCTGTAGGGGCCAATTCTCCGGCGTAACTAAAACATGGATGCTTAGACGAAAATAAGAACTGCTGTGAAGGTAACTTGAGTACCTTCAAGAATATGTTAGTTCTGATTGTTAATGCAAGAATTTAATGGAAACAAAACAACCAATCATTAGCGAGGCTTGCTTTCAAATCCAACTGGTTGAAAGTACAGTTTAAATGTATGTATTTAACTGACTGTTTCCGTTTGGGATATATATAATAAAAATAACCAGTAGGCACTGCTGTTAAAACCAGTGGTACAATCTGTTATGCTATGAAGAGATTAAGACTTCGCGATTCAGTTAAGTAGTGACATTGCTTCACAGAAGTCAGTATATGTAGGTCACAGTTTTTTAGTGTGTTGAAAGGCTCTTTGTGTTTCAGAAGTGTGATTTGCATCTTGCTGGAGAAGTTGTTAGTTTGTAAAAAAATGGTAACTCTGCTTCTATTGAACTGCTTCAGGTTTTTAACTTCTTTGTGTGTGTGTCTGCAGGATGTAAAGCTATTACCTGTGCTTTCCTTCTGTGTCTGGAAAACTGCCTCTGTTCTTCCAGCCTTTAACTAATGTGTTCCTGTTGTGATGGGTACTTTCCATCCCATGTGTATACTGTCATCCTTCTGTCTCTCACTGATTTCTGAAGTTGTTTAAGAAAAGAAAACACTGAAAATGTCTTTTGAAGGGCTTTTAGTAGAATTAAATCCATATTCCCGAGCTTCAGCTTCACTGAATAAGTATTTCTAGCCATAATTGATTGATATTGCAAAAGATCTGGCATGAATGAATGAAAAGAAATAGAAATGCAGTCAGGATTTGGGCAGTTGTATGTCATGTGAAAGACCCCTGAAATGTAAGAGGTAAATTTGGTTGACACTAGCAGTGTCAGCTTTGCTTTTTTTTTTTTATTTTGTTTGTTTATGGTGTTAAAGCAATACTCTATTCCAGGTGCCACTATTAAATATATGCTTGGACTTGTAGCTCTGTAGTTCAGAAATTATTTCGTATTTTATCTGCTTGAATTCTAATATTTTAGTCAAGAATATTAACTGCTAAATACGTTGTTCACTGTATACATTGCTCATAGGGAAATCCATAAGCTTTCCTGTGTTATAAATAAAAAACGTGTTTTGTATTTTCTATTAATTTTTTGTGTGTGTGTTTGTGTTTTGGTTTTTTTAGGTCCATTTTCCAGACACAGAGAGGGCAGAGTGGCTCAACAAGGTAAGGGTAGTTGTTAGCATTGCTTCCATATGGGAAGGGGGAGGAGGGAAATCTGAGATTAAAAAAAAAAATGGTGAGGCAGAGCAGTTTTAACTTTATGTGCTCTTCATACAGTTGAAGCTTGTGGTCATTGATCCAGTCAGTCACGACAAAAACTAAGTTTTGGAGAGTGACTTTAAGTTAAAATAATGACAGCTATAATTGTGTGGAAGTCATAGCAGCTGTAAACACAGTCTTTTATGTTCTACTTGTCTGGGATACTTTCCAGTTACTGGAGGTTCCTGACCTACAATCTAAAAATAAATCAATTTTGCAGTTTTGATTTGTATGTATGGTAATCTAAGATCCAGATCTGTGTAGCTTGGATTTTCTAAAAATGTCTTCCACTCAAAGAACATAGAATAACATGAGTTAATTAAAAAATAGAAAAAAGAAACAATATCAAATTTTCAGATATGGGCAGTAAAATACTTTATTTTTTACGTTTATATACCTTATGTGTGTATTTAAGAAATTCACTTGCCCCATTTTTTCTTATTCTTCTCTTTACATGCAAATAAACTTAACTCTTTTCACCCTTCTCCCCAACATTCAGCATCAGTGCTGAATGCATGTGTATTCATAGGATAAAAGAGGAAAACTCTTAATATTGTCTTTCCTCTCCTCCAGTGCTTCAGATTTGTGCACATGTATAAAACACACAAATTGAGAATTCCAGAAAGCTTTCCTGTATGTAAAAAGGGACCAGTTCTTACATCTGCAATGAAGCGCATAGAAAACTTGTATGTTTAAAACTTCTTGTGCAAAATTTCTTACATGTACCTTGAAGAATATTTTTTTTTGTTACGTGTGATGTTGTGTTCCATGTAGATTTTTTTCTTTTTCTCCTTAGACTGTAAAACAGATGTGGCCTTTTATTTGCCAATTCATTGAGAAACTGTTCCGGGAGACCATAGAACCAGCAGTAAGAGGAGCAAACAACCACCTAAGTACCTTCAGTTTTACAAAGATTGATATTGGTCATCAGGTCAGTGTCTGGTGAAGTTTTTCCAAGAGGCTTTGTCTTACATACTGATTTCATGTAGCCTGTTTAAATCTACACAAAAATATTTCTCAGTGACACTTGGTGGTAGGCTGATTCTGGTTTATGTTGTAACATTAAAATAAAACCATTTGTGGCTTTTTTAGCAGAGGCTTCATTTTTTTTTTTTTTCCTGGGGTCTCTGCTTCAGAAATTTGCCTGAGAACTGGAAAAAGGCTTAAAGTATAGTAAGTCCTAATTATATGAAGATCTCATAGCAACATGATTTTAGTACTGATCATGTAATGCTTCACATTAAGTGAGCAGGGACCGTTATCCTTTTTTTGTCAGGTGATGCAAGTGCAATTACCTTTGTTCTAAAAGGTGAACTTTTAATCATGTGATGTGCTGAGTCCAATGACAAGGCTGCTGGCTCAGCTTTCCAAAGGACTGCACATAACGTAGTATCAAGGAGCAGATAGGTGTTTACCTTCTGTTCGGCCCTGTGAAAGAAGGGGTTATAGCATACAACTCTTACTGTTTGATCAGTCCAAGGTAAGAGTAAGTTACCTCTGCTTGCAATAAGTTCGGCACTACTTACTCTTACTTGTATCAACCAGAACTTTACTTCTGTCGAGATGTAGCTTTAACAGCTTTTTTGTGAAGTTGTCTTTTATATTCCTCTTGCTTGTTATACATGGGATTTTAAGTAAGGATTAAAAGTCTTTCCCCCCTGCCCCTTCTCCTCTGAATGTTACGAAAACTGAAGTTAAGTTTCAGGTGTGATGAAGGGGAATTATTTTTCTCTTTGTGACTCTATTTCATGTATATTACAGTTCATTATACTTTACTGCACTTTTTGTGTTTGTTGTTTTTTTTTTTTTAAGTTTTAAACTTCAAAAAAACCCTGTTTAAACAGGGGTTCTGTCCTGCCCTAGATATACCTGTATTACACACTGTAGAATACCATTGCTTTTAAGCTACACTAATTTTAAGTAGAGTTAAAATTAGCTTCCGTACCTCTGTATGCTTATGCAGATGGATCGAGTTATCTTGGACATGAGAAACAGCTATTCTTTCTTTAAATTGCAGCCTTAGTTCAGTTGCATCCTGTGAACTGCTCAGTCACAAACACAGTGGGAACCTGAGAGCAGTGAGATTTCCATTTTACTTAAATTACTAAAAAGTTGTAAATAGAAATATCGCAAATTTTCCAGAAAGGAAAAACTCAAAATGGGACAGGAGGTGGTGCTAAGAACAGCCATTGGTCATTCTCTCCCACCTAGTATTTGATGAATGTTTGAATCTTGGGAGGGTTTGATTGAGATCTGTTGCTCCTGTAAGATTGACAAAAAGGAGAGAGAGAGTGCTGAGTGGTTTAGAGAGAGAGCGCAGAGGGGTTTACATCAACTTTTTGTCGGGATTATTGATTATTTTCCATCCATTCAGACTAAATTCCACTTAAGGCAACTACATTTTTGTGAATTAAACTTAGCTTGTAAAGTTCTGGTTGCACAGGAAAGAACACTTTGTCTGGGAGTGCTAGACATATACTAGTACAGAGAAATGAGATGCTTGTTGGGAGGAGAGGGAAAACTTGGTACTAAATATTTGCTTAATCTTGAAATCTAGTAGTCTAAACCCAGGATAATTGCAAGATGGGTTGTGGTTGAATCGATCCTAGCAAGGTAATTTTTACCCTTGAAATAACATTTTGAGCTAAATTGATAGCTTTGCTTCACACCTTTTAGTAATGCTTATAGCAAATTCTTAACTTTAGGCATGAATATGGGTATATTTACCTGTATCTTGAAGGTGAATTTAATGTGGTGTAATTTAGTAGAAGGATGCAAATCTTACTTGCTTCATTGTTTCAGCCTCTGCGGATAAATGGTGTAAAAGTATACACTGAAAATGTGGACAAAAGGCAGATCATCTTGGATCTTCAAATCAGGTAAACTGTATTATCATGTCATGATGGTGCCTATGGTTTAGAATATGTGCTTTGTTCGATTCGGCAGTTATGTTGGACTGGAATGAGAAGAATTGCTTCGTTACGCAAATGTAGTTAGTTCTAATTGTGTATGAATGGAAGAAGGAACTGCATGCTGTTAATAGCATTTCTCTGAGGGAAACAGTATATCAGGTCAGTGTGACTGCATCATTAAAGTAATGTTGGTTAATAAAAAAATACTTTGCAAAGCTAAAGCACTATCATTGGATATTTTTCCTAATGTATTAAAACTTTGACATAAAGTTTAGTCAAGTCTAAAACTTAGGATATAAGATGGTTGCACATTTCACTTTTCTCAGTTACTTATATTTTTTTATAAGCACAATATTAGAAAAAGAGAATCATAGTTACCAAAGTACTTGTACTCATACCACTAACTGAAGTAAATCTATGTATTATATAATGCCAGAGTGACTATGCTCCGCTGCTTCAGGTTTCTTTGCCCTTTCATCATGACCTCTGTTATATAGGTTTATAAATAGATCTACCCAGTGTTTGCCAAAGTCTTTCTCAACACAATTACAGAGATTTTTGAAAGTACAGTCAGTGAACCCAGCAATGTTTTTATATTTGACTATCATAGATATGTGTTACAGTGAGTCCTTTTGCCTGTTTGTAGCTTGTGGAAAGGTCAGACTTGTCAGTCACTGAGAGTTGAGCAGCTTTCTGGGTTTCTTGCTGCTTCCCTGACAGTAACCAGAAGGATAATAGGGCCTCTCAGCTTCTGTTTTCCGGAGTTACTTTCAAAGTTTGAATGTGGTTATTCCTAATTTTGAATTATTTAGCTAAATCCCAGCTATGTTGAAGACTCTATGTTTCTTCATCAAAGCTCAGAGTGATAAGAGAAGATGCTGCTGCATCCTTTCCTGGGTTTCAGAGGCAGGTGGGGGCTACATTTGTGAGCAGGGCCCAGTCTCTATTGAATTGAATAATTTTATTTCTGTAGGAAAACGAGAGCTATCCAAATCAGGTATTGGTGTCACTGGACAAAACACAGCAGGATTGTCTGTTGAGAGCTTGTTTCACTGGATGGATGCTGTTAGCTCTAATGGAGACATTTCCTCCAGCTTTCCCTTTGCTGCCACTTTTGATAGCAGCTGTGAGAACAACCTCACCTTGTCAGACTTAAGCTGTCAGGAAAACGAACTTGTCTGACCACAGTGGACACAGTGCAGAGCAGCTGTTTCTGAGAAGCTAGTTTTGAGGCATTTGAGGGGCCAAGTCTCCCAAGACCACTCTTCCCTTTAAAGCAGAATTATTCCCCCAGGAGGAGAGCGTAAATCTAGTGTTTCTTCTTTTTTTCTTTTTTTGTCCTGCTCACCTTCATGAAGTAGATTTGGACAGATAAACATAAAACATTACATTGCAATCTACTTAGAGAAGTGATAACAGCTGGAGTAGAATCCAGTCTAAAAGGCTGAAATAAACTTCTGAAGTGGTTTAAATAAGGACAATAGTACTGAGGTAGCTAGGTGTTCATTTACCCCAACAGCCTGTCCGTCTGTCAGTGCCATGGTCTTCCAGGAAGAGAACTGAAACAGGAGAGCTGTGGATTGACTATCATAGCTTCTAGCAACTGAGGCTTAGAAAAAGCCACCATCAAAGGATGTTCCGTTTTGTATTTAGGACTTGTCCTTGATACCTTCTCATTGGGAAAGGGCTCTTTTTCAAAGGCTTTTACTCATGCGTGTTTAAGACAGTATCAATTGTTAGTTTGATTTATTTTTTATTTTTGTAAATGTTCTCTAAGGGTCCATCACTGGGATTGTTTTAATAGTAAAAGGAAGGAAGAATAAGAGTCTCTGTGATAACTGTTCTTGGTACGTTTAGATAGAAGTTATGTACAAATACAAACCCTAAACAATTTTGTAGGGAATCAACTTTAATTCAGTTTTGCAAGATTATAAAGAACAGTCTTACTGCTGGAGAAAAGCCCGTCCTGCAGAGTATTTATCCTCATAGATTTTAATCTCCAGTTAAATTAGTTTGTTCTAATTTTAATTTATTTTTAAATTTAAAGTTAGGAGCTTTCTATAAACCCTTCATTCCCTAAATACAGTTGAGAAGGAAAACAATCTCTCTAAGCATTCGTAAGAACAGCGGTACTAAGCCAAGCCCTGTGGGGCAGTGTGGCAGGAGGGAGGGAAGGAAAGATTTTTTTTTTTTAATAAATAAAATTATTCTTTAATAATCTCCTTTTGTTTTGCTGTTTCACCTGTGGCTTCCTTTCTGCAGTCAGCTGTAGCCCTTTCTGCTGTCAGTTGTTTGTGATGGGGTATATGCATTTGCTTTGGACCTTCCATACAGTACATTTAAGTAGTTTCAGTGTGTCTCCAAAACACTTCTTTAGTATTTTTTGCATCTTTCTTGAGGTTTTTTGAGGGTTTGCTTTTAAGTTTAATTGCAAAAGGAGTGTTTTCTGCTTTAGTTTTTATTGTTCCTGCAGGAATGTTGAGTGCATTATCATCATTGCTTCAGGTTTTTCATAGTCTTCTGAAACAGGTCCTGTGCATTGCTCAGGATCCAATTAAGAACTTTACTCTTGTAAGCAGCTTGACTGGGTAATCTACAAAGCAGTTACTGGAAAATGTATTTAAAGATTCAATTTCAGGACAATGTTTGCAAAGGAAACACTTTACCTTTCTCTTATTTACTGTGAGCTTTATGTTAAAAAATTGTCAAAACTCGTGTTACAATTTAGAAGTCTAGTTTCTGGTGACAAAGATGTCTGAAGGAAAAGTTTTAACTACTTGAGCAAATACAGATAAAGTGTAAATAAATTCGTAATAAATAGAAATCTTAACATTTGCTAGCGTGCATGAATGTAGTAAACACTTGGGGAAAATTAAAGGTTATGGATCAATAGCAACCAAGATAAACTCTGTCAAATTAAATGTAAACTGTAGTAAAGAAAGCCAAAAAAGATTGAGAGATTGAGGAAATACTTGTTGATAGCATACAACTGAGTTTTTTCACCTTCTCACTATACTTAAAAATAGAGGCACTAAAAGAATAGTGGGCTGCAGATTTAAACACATTCAGGTGTGGTGGGTTTTTTTTCATGTGGCATATTTGAATGAAGAAACTCACTGCCATTGTACTGGCAGAAGACAGAGGTGAAAATGGGTTCAAAAAGACCTTCTAAAAAACCATGAAGATAGTCAAAAGTACAGAATCACAGATCATTGTAGTCTGGAAAATATGTTTGTCCTGATCTTTGTTTTTCTTCTGGGTATCTCCTGTGGGCTACAATGACCACATACACTATGCTGTGTTCTGATCTGCTGCGGTACAGCTGCTGTTACATTCTTACAAGACTGTTCTCATTAAACTAATCTCTCTGTGATCCATACACTACAGGGGTCATACATGTTTCTGGGATATTATGATCCTGAATGTATAGAATTTGCTTACTAAATGAGCCTTCAAGTTGTATGTTACATTACAATCGAATTCTGTATGGCATCAACTGTTAATGGACCCAGCCAAATATCTTAGGGGATAAAACCATGTTTAACTTTATTAGAAGGTTAAAAGTTGTTGACTTATTACCCTCAAATGCAGTTTCTCACTATTTCTATTTCAGTTTGTCATTGTATTATTACAGATTTTCAAACGAACATGTTGCTTCCCAGTCTTCATAACACAAATAGTTCTGATGCTACAAAGTGCCAAGACTGAGGTTTTAATTGCAGGTCTAAATTGAACTTGTTGCTCTGTGTCATGTTGTTATGTAATTTTATTTTTTTGTGTGTATATATATCTCTCTACTATCTGTGTAGATAGATAGGTATAAATAGAAATTACATAGTTTTAAATTGTATATTAAAAATTATATACCTATTTTTAAACTGTACAGTCACACTACATTCTTTCCAGGGAAAGCAATGGTCACCTTCCTTTCACAGAGACCCCTGTCATGTTGTCATCTTCCAGTTCCCCAGACTGGTCATTGTACCAAAATGACTCTGCATACTGTTATCTTCTGAATAGTCCAAAATAAATTCCAGTGTTGGACACTTACAACAGTGTCTCGGAACTATTGTTTATGTCTAAGGGATTGATAAGATTTGCATTTGCTTCAAATCCCATAGATGGCACCATCAGACACAGAGCACAGGAGACTACAGGCGATTTGAATAATGGATATCCTGAATGCAGCAACTTTCACATTAGTTTCCTTTTGATAGGACCTTGTGGACATCAGTTGTCAGCAGGGAGGGCACAGGGGTCCTGTTACTCTGCTCTTACTGTGAGAGTAATTTATCTTCACTTGATCCTAAAATGGATCCCATGAAGAGAGCAAGTCCATTTTGTTCATAATTTCCCAGGCATTTCTGTAATAAGATTCCATCACACTCCTAAACCCGGCTGAACAGTTTTTCACTTTACAGGCTAGGTCTGGGGAACCGAAGGCAAGGAAGCCTGGACTGTACTGCAGAATGTGGAACAGGGTGTCCTGTAGAGGAAACGTATTCCACATGCCCACAGCCCACTGTCCCCACCACCCTCCACCCCCATCAGTGTCTGGCTTTAAGCTGCTCTATCTCCCCACTTAGTTACTCCTTCCATTCAGATTTCATTTGTCCTTTCCTTATAACCTGTATATTCTTAACCAGCCTGCTTGCCCAGCCAGTCTCTCCCTAGCTGTAGCTTGGTATTCAGTCTGTTGGTTTTTGGTTTTTCCTCACATCCTCTAGAATCATTGCCTTTTTCCCTTGCTAAATCAGTCTCAAGCTTTCTTCCTAAATTCCTTGTTGAGTCTCAGAATTAGTTTGTTTTCAGACCCAATGTGGCTCACAGGAGCAGCAGTTCTTGGAAAAGATCTGCTCAGCTCTGCTGGTACATGCTTGACCTGCACGGAGCTTCGGGAAGAGCAGCTGCTAAACTTGTAGTCTGAGCTGTGTGCAACTAATCTTTTAGCCTTGTAGCATGAGCAAAATAAATGAGGCTTTTTTTACCATCATCTACAAACCTATCTCAGATACAGGGCAGCATCTGCAAAATTTCAAGACCTTGACCCAGTAATGGGTACACCCAGAAATGGTATGCAAGAACTGTTCAGGGAAAAACTTGCACTGTTTTTAATATATTATTTTCCAGTTTGCTTGCTCCCTCCTCTCCCTTCAGAAAGGGCTCAACTGTTTTTGGCTTAAACCTTGCTTAGTGGATCATCCAGCTCAGTATGCCCAGCTTATTGAATTTCTAAATATGACTGGTTTTGCAAGTCTGAATATTTCAGACAACTTTGATTTTTAGCAAAATAACCATCTCTGTCTAGTGCTTCTCATGATTATATTAGATGAGAGTGGATTTGGGAACATGTACTATCAATGAGGCCTATATAACAGCTTTCCCGAAATGGAGTATGAATTCTTTGTCTCTTATTTCCCAAAAGTAAGGCTACCTATTTGTTTTCTCTCATGTATTCTTCTGGAGATGATAACATAACTTGTTGTGTTAATTTCTGAGTGTATTTGATGACAGTGGTGATGCTTTGAGTGGGATGTAATTTTTTCACAATCTTGACTTTGTTATATGTTGTAATGTTTTAATGTGCATTTTTTTATGTGCAGACTGAGATACAAAATTTTCATCGCAGTGCAGAATAGAACAAACAGTGTATTGTCGTTTAGTTCACAAAAATGAAATGCATATTTTCTTTTTTGTTTCAGTTTTGTTGGAAATTGTGAAATTGATTTGGAGATCAAGAGATACTTCTGCAGAGCTGGTGTGAAAAGTATACAGGTGAAATTAATTTTTTCTTTTGATTTTGACATAGTCATCATTGAATCTTTATTTTCTGGTGAAATAGTTTGTAAGAAGGAACCACTAATTGTGTAGATTTGCTTACTATTTTTTTTCTCAGTTGCATAATATTGATATTGCATAATAAGTTAAGTAACATGATTTAGCTGAAAGGGTGAATTCCTGAACTGTGTTAAATGCGTATCATTACATATTTATAACATACAAATATATATTTATATAAAAGTGCTATATATTAATAATATATAACATATGTAACATTTTCTACTGGAAAAGATTGAGATAGTTCATGTCAAGCCAATGTTCATGTGATGTGTAGGTTCATAAAAGGAATGTGAAGCTTAGAATTTTGTTTTATTCAATATTTGAGTGTTAGATACAGTTGTTAGTTTAGATGCAATTATTATTAGTAGCCTTGTCTTCTGAGACTGTTTCGCAAATTTTCTTAACTGTCTGATAACAAATTTCTCTCTCTAATGAGGAGAAACAGTATAATTTTTTTTGTGTCTTGACATACCTATAAACATTTACCTACTTTTGTTCTAATATCTGTGGATGTGCTTGTATTGGTTTGTGCCATGTTTGCTTACGTTAAGCTGCATAAATAATCTACTTCATGTTTTCAGCAAAATTACCACTAAAATGACACATCATCACGTAGATGAATGTAATGAATTTGTAAGTCAACTATTTAGTGTCTGCGTTCTTTTTTTTTTTATTTGGATGACATTTAAAGATATATATGTAAAATTCTTCCATAATGAAGATTCAATGAATTAGAAGTGTGAGCATTGCCAGTGAATAAATTTTATTTAAAATTTGAACTAAAGTCAATTCTATTGCCTTTTTTCCCTCCCCTTCCGCAGATACATGGAACTATGAGGGTTATCCTGGAACCACTAATTGGAGACATGCCCCTAATTGGAGCACTATCTCTTTTTTTCCTTAGGAAACCTGTAAGTACTTTTATCTCTGTTTCTATTCATTTTAGAGTGCTGATGGCAGTAGTCAGAAAATGATGGATCAAGAATTAAGCAGCAAAAGGAAGGAACTTGGGAAATTGCTGCCATTTCGTTGAAATTTCCCAGAAAAATAGTGGACACATTTTATGAATACTGGAAGAAACCGAGATGAATAATGATTAACTTGGAATTACAAAATGTGTTCTGTCAAATCTGTCAAATTTTTCTTACAAGTCTGCTAGATAAGGGATGATCAACAGATACCATTTAGGTTGTTTGTAAAAAAGCTTTTGTTGCTGTTTCTCATGACAGTCTGCAGGAGAGCATGGTCTAAGCTAAAATTCCACAAGATCTGTGCAAAGTTGTTTTGAAAACCATGCTGGTGTAACCACAAATTAAAATCAGAATGGATGTATTGAGCTTACCCACTATGACAATTGAAGTTTTTATCCTAAATAGCATGTGGGCAATTTCCATTACATTTACCAGTGACCCAAGTATGAGAATGGATGAAGCACAGTGTGAGATGAAATTGGAATTAAAAACCATGACAGTAGCAGAAGTTGGAGGGGGAGAGGGTGTCATGTAATTCAATTAAAAGACATGCTAGGCTAAAGTGTACATTTGGGCAGGAATAATAGCAAAACAAAAGTAAGGCAGCAGTGATGCTGGTATGAAAATGCTTGTGGAAATCTTTCCTAAAGTCCCCTGTTCTTTCCTACCCAAACAACAATGAAAGTGACTGTGGACTTTTTGGCTCGGCCAGTATCAATTTGAATCATGGAGTCTGGCACCAAAATGATGCGCGTTATTGCAGGATTCAATAGTGTTGAAGTCATTCCAGACATATCTCAATTCTGTTGAATTAAGACAATTAGAGAATGATTCTTAGCTTACTGAAGAGGAATAAAACTTAAGAGTAATTAAAAGAAAATTAGTTAAGGAAAGTTTTCTGAGGCCACAAACTTTTCTGAATCCTGGCGTATCACAAATTACCTGATAATTACTTTCATGAATAGTTGTGTTTTATACAGCTGTCTTGCCTTTTCATGCTGAATTTTTAAATATGATTTTTTTAAATTAAGTGTGAAGTTTGAAACTAATATAGTTTTTGAAAGTTGGAAACCTGGCTTCTGTAGGCTCCACTACCTTGGAGTGATTGTTTTACTTCAATTCATACTACTGTAGTATGAATCTCACAGGTAAGATTAGCTGACAAGCACCAGTAGGTCTGTTGGTAACTTGTATGGCATTGGTAGAAGAACAGAAGATAGATTGCAACCGTAATTTTCAGTGTCTGAAAACAAGTAGCAAATACTCTACATTTTTAATTGAATTAAATCTTATAAAATATGACAGTAATTCTAGTCTAGGTTTTACTACTTTCAGGAAATTTCTTTTTTTAATCTATAAATGCATCAAAAAAAATTCACAGACGTTGCAAAATTTGTCTAACAGTCTTATTTTAGAAAAATATCAAGAAGAACATAATAAATATTGCCCATTTGCTGGCAGAAAAGTCTTTGATGTTGTATATGTGTGTGTGTAAGGCAGTTTCAACAGTTTGAAGTTTGATACTGCTTTTAATAAGTACCAGTAATAGAGCTTAATAGAAAATGTGAACATCATGGAAATTCTTATGCTACACAGACTTCTTCGAAGAAATTAGTTGTTGCCATCTCTTAATCAGAAGTATATTTCCCATTGGAAGCTTTTGTTCCTTGGATATCTTCTAATTAAAGAGTAAAACTTATGATGTCAAGATTTAACAATTTCAGAATATGCCAGGTCATAAATTGCAAGTATATGGGTTTAGGCACTTTGAAACTGTCTCAGATTGATCATCTTGGTTTCCTTGGCATGCTGCAACTCTAAAAACTGGATCTAGTTTTCAAGGTTTGGGGGCTGCAAGTGTGTTCTTTGAATAACTTTAGAAGGTATGTTATTATTTTCTTCAATGAAATCAGATTCTTGTAACACCATCCTTTTGAACAAATGTCCCGTGATAAATTTTTGCTAACTTGATGAAAAGATAGGTTTGTATGGGTGTTTATATATGGCCTAGGAAAAATTTCTCATGTCACTTGTCATTTATGTGGCTTGTTTCATCTGTCTAGAGAAACCATGTGTGCTTGGGTGGGAATGTAGACCTAAATCTTAGTAAAATGTGTAAGAATTTGGAAATGTTTTGTGGATAATTTAGTGACCTTTTTTGTGAAAGTGAGATAGTTCACATAAAACTGATAAAACATCATTGCTCTTATTTGGAAAGGTTTGGGGAAGTACATTGGAATGAACCAAATTTGGATTTCCACACATTTCTTTGAAGTGAGTCTGAACATTAGGAGATGTCTGCTTAAGTTTTGTCTCATTTTTACCCTCTGGCTAAGCAATATGAGTGTAGGGCATCTGTTAATGTTCATATTTATACTAACAAACTAAGCAGAGCCATGACAAGGATTGAACACTGCCTTATGGTAGCCTGTACTGTGTAATTGTTAGCATACTCTCTGATACTATTTTGCTATTTACTGCTCTCCCAAACAATTTCCAGACTCAGTACAGTGCCCAGCTCATTACAGGGACCATCCAATAAACAAGTTAAATGCAAACGCTCTGCTTTGGAAGAGCAAGGAGAAGAGTTTAGTTGTGTGGACACAGGCTTTACATATCTCTCGTTTTCTACAGGATTAGAAATGACATTACTTCCTGTTGTAGATGTGGTTTGTGTTGTCTCTCGAAGTTCTGTTTTGTATTCGCCAAGAAAGAAACCAGTGTGCACTCCTCTGCAGAGCCTTCCTGGCACGCTGTGTGCCGGAGCCATGACCTGATTTAGTATGTCTGGATTTCCTGGGGTACCTCCTGTATCTACCGCTGCTTTGCTGCTTTCTAGGGGAGAGGTAGGAAAGCTGGCAGGGGATAGGGAGGGAGAGATCAGCAGCAGACGTGCTTGTAAGCAGTTCCTCTGTTTCCCACTCCCAGTATTGTGCTCTGGTAGCATTTGTCTGGAGCTTTCATTTTTGGTACTCTCCGATATCTCTCCAGTCAGCTGTGGTACCTGTGCTCAAGCCTTTCTGTCCCTGATCCACTCGTAAGTGCCATGCATTCGCCAAGTGCTTAACTCAGACAACTTGCACCCTGAGACAGTAAACTGAGAATATATCAAATGAAACACCTCTCATTTGTCATCAGCAGCTTTCTGAACACGTCACTTTGGGAAAAACTTTGTCCAGAGTAATTTTGTCTTTACTTCTACCCCCCTGCCACTTTATTAGGGGTCTAGTTGACTTAGTGGGACAGAAAAGGATGGGAAGTAGACTGGAGTATGAAAATTGAAGTCAACCCCTCCCCAAAAGTATTCAGTTACACAAATATTAGAAGCATTTTTCACCCTCTTTTCATTTAAAAACTAAGCTAGTGGTCAAGGTCTGAGCAAACTTAAGGGTGGATTGTTCAAAAAAATGTGTCTTTGAATCAAGTTATTCCATAATTTTGACAGTCCTACATGGAGGTTTATTTTTTTCCAAGCAGACTTCTCTTCCCTCTGCAGTGTGTTGTCTTGGTGTTTATTTTTCTAAATTCTGTAGAAAAATGTAAAATAATGCTTATTATAGCAATAACCAAATACTACCCTCTTACTAGAGCAAGTGGCTGCAGCCAAGGAAAGCTTTTCTTCAATATTTTTGTTAGAACAGAAGAGGAATTAGTTGGCAGCTAGCATTAGATTTTTGTTCTCATGTTTTCCAGCCTAAAGTAACTGGCAACAATTCCTCTTGCTCTGTATCATCTGTTTGCTGGCCTTAATGACTATATAAGGCAATGCTGCCTAAATTAATAGTTCCGAACATAGTTGTTTAATGAGTTTACCAGTCTCACATTTCTGAGTAACACATGAAGTTTTTGATGCTGCAAGTTCTTACTTCATATGAAGCTTTTTAAATACGGTATTTTTTTCTATTATTGTGAAGAAGGTACTAAAAGTTTCATCAGCTTATGAAATACATCCAAATATGTTAGAGATTTCAAGAGAGAGAAATATGTGCCTGCTAATGTTTTGAAGTAGTCTTTTAAATCTCTGAGGTTCAATGCTACAGGGAAGTTAGCACTGTGTAAATAGTTGGGATTTGTAAGGTTTTTCCCATTATTTCTCTTTATGTTAACATTACATATATTTACCATATATTCTGCTTCTCTAAGTGTAGTTATCTTTTACTTTTAGAACAAAATATCACATAGTTAATTATTTTGATTTTTGGTTCAGTTATAGAAGTGTATATGGCTTATAGTTGTACTACAAATGGGTAAATTTTAAAAGCTTGTTTAGTGGCATACTTAATATTGAAGATGTGTCCGAACCTAACCCTTTTCTCTTTGTTGTTTTAAAAAAAAAAAAAAAAAAAAAAAGATACATGAAAATACCAATATTATTGTTCCAAAAAAACCAAAGGCTGGAAAACAGGATGCCTTCCAGGAAAAGTAGGCAACTCTTCCAAAGCTCTCGTTTTTGTTCACAGTTTTGCCCTCTGCTTGCCTCCTTGAGCACTGCTCTCCCTCTACTCACTTCACAGATTGGTTCTGTCCTGTAGTTTTGATTTATTTAATATTGGTTTAGTTTCATTTAATATTGGCTGCCTTTGGAAAATTCAGTGCTGGATGTGACTTTCAAAATCTTCAGTACTGATGAAAATTAGACTCAAAAGGAGTGTTTGCACAAAGAATGAGTCCTAGTGAAATTGCAGAAGAATGTTGTTTGGTTTGCTTTTAGTTGATCCAAAAAATGCCTTCAAAACTTTTTAACCTCTTTTAAATGGGTTTGTGGAACACCTGGATAAATAAATGGTAATGGGCTGTGCTCTACTGACAGACAAATTGTACTGCATGACCATTCACAATAACGGAAGAGGGCATGCTAGTCCTCTTCTTCTAATAAATTTCTGAGAAGAAACACAACTTATCCCATGGATTTGTGTCATTGTGCCCTGTAGTGGAGCTTA